TGGCGCTGCCAGCCGTGCACTGCCTCTAGAAATAAGCAAAAATCGAATGAATCTTCCACTAAAACGCGGAAGTATTCATGGTACATTCACGAAACTACCCCTCTCCCCTGCTCACTCCATCAATAAAACACTCAAACGTTGAACGAACCTACCGTTGGCCTATGGTCAGATCCATTCCATACTCACCGGCCACTCCCCCGGCGCAACCTCCGACCAACAACATACACAGTTCGCAACCTCATTGCCGAATCTGGCCGCACCATCCAACTCGCCGCACCCCAAAGCCCCTGAAACGCCTCTTTGTTCACCCGTTTTCGTCGAGGAGCGGGTGGGCTAGGCGATTCGCACTCCCGCCATCTCTACCATAGCTATAGCGCACGGATTTTCTCCGCTAACCTCTAAATCTACTAACCCAACACCAAAACTAACTTCGCCATCCTCCTCATCTTACCCCAAAACGTCAGACCTGACTCCTCCCCCGCCCGATCCTGTTGTACTTCACACGAATTATCCGTTCTTCCCTGCGCTCTACCTACCATTTCCGCGCGTGCACCTGGATCGTTTCATCGGCCAGGATCATTTTTATTTATTCATTTTTTTTGCCCGGTTTGCGCCCGGTCCCCTACCTTTGCCCCGTCGCACCGCTGTCGGCACTTCGTCTTCTCCCTCTGTTGCCAATGCTCAGATGTACCCGGCGCGGATTCGCGTCAGGTCCGTCTTTCCTTCCCCACGGTCCGTCCGCCCCCGCTATCGGTCGCTTCGCTCCCCACCTCGACGCTCAATTCTACTATCCCGCAACGCTGCTTCCCGTCAGTACATCCGACCATACTGTACCGAGTGGAGGAGAGATGTCTCTTGAAACGAGCAACCGYKGGGCTCAGACCATCCCGMGGCTTATATTCCAGTGCGAGCGCACGGACGGCGCTAATCTTCTCTGTATCGTTCCCATTTTTACGAATGTCCCGAAGGACTTTGTACCAGCCAGCGCCCGCCTGAGGGCCCTTCGGAGGGAACCAGGTACTAGACAGTTCGATTAGTCTTTGCCTCTATACCCAAAGTCCGATGTGCGCGGCAACACCGCTGCGAACTTCTGCCCCAGCGCCTGACACAGGTTCGCGTCCCCGTTCGTCCGCCAGGTAAGCTCCCTCACTCTCTCTAGTGTTGCGCTGCCTGTCCTCCCCTCCTACTGTTAGCGCAGCGCCCGACACCCGCAATGGCCTGGTCTCATTACCCGACAATCCTTGTTACTCCGTTCGCCCTATACCGCGCAGTGCCGGCCCGACGGCACGTAAATGTCAARACCCRGGAAAAACATCCGGCCGTCGGACCTCGTCCTGATTTGTGCGCGTTATCCTCACGCAGGGGCCATGCTAAACTTCTCTGTATCTTTYCAWTTTTTGACGAATGTCCCGAWGGACACGGTCCCCGGGCTAACCAGCCCCCGACAATTTAAAATATTTGGTTTTACTTATCAAGTTTCATCATTCCGGGTTCGAACACGGGTCTGTATCCCACCAGTTCATGGGTGTACCCACTGAGCTAGGCCCTTAGGGCCTGCCGCGCACCCACCGCGCCGCGTCCCAAGACAAGACGAGGCGCGACTCCGACGCAGCCACGAAAAATGGTCTGTAATTGCACTTCCGGCAACCCCCACGAATACAACACACCCCATGTGACTCTATCGCCGCGGGTCGGCCCTGCCGCCGCGCCCGTAGGCAAACCCGAGGGGGATAGCCCTGACGGCCCTCAACCCTGTCGGTCCCTTCCGCGACGCTCCCCTGCAGTTGCCCCGCCGACGCCTGCTGGCCTCGATCCCCAAACCTTCGTAACGTCAACCCAATGCCGTAACCTATGGGCTAAGCCCAAGCCTGGGGCTGAATCCCGCAGAATACCATATAGGCAGTGTGGCGCAATGCTTTGGGCCAACAAACCGGCTGCGCGGCTCCCAGTGCCCGCGTCGACTTGTTTATATCATGCCATAATTGCCCCGCTCGCCATCCTACGACATCCTGCTCACCGTACAAAATCGCGCCCTTATTGCCGATGCCGTATTTGGTTTCCCCCCCCGCACGCGCGCTCGCCTTAATCAAGCGTACCAATCAACCGAAAATATCCCTGTTTCCTGCTTAATCAAATATAAGTAGATATTAATAATACTATTAAACAAACGACCAAKGATCAACAGCAGAAAAGAATCACGCGTGCCTTAAACCTGCGCGCCCACACACTCTCTACTCTAGTCAAGCATCCTATCAACGTAAAATACAGACGTAGCCGTGCCTAGCGCGGTATACCTAAACTATAGATTAAAACCATTTTTCTGTCACTTGCAAAAACCAGGGCGGATACCCTTGTCAGGGTATTCGCACCGACAGTGCCTGCAGTACCGGTAACAATGCATGTTGCACAAGTTCGTTTGCATACACCATAGCAGGTGGGCGAGCACAGGAAGAAGGTGGTATAGGGTTGTGGAGGGATATAAATAGTATGGATCAGCTCCTGGGTCAAGGGAGGGGGACTTAGGGTGAGCTTTGGGATTAGGGAGGGGTTGTGTGCATTGTAGTGAGATATGCATCGTGCCATGAAGCAGGCGATGGTTAGGAGGGAGGTGGTAAAGGGGATTAAAGGGGGTTCCTGGGCGGGGGTTTATGGGATTGGCGCTCTAGGTAGCATAGTAGTATTGTGCCAGGGGTTAGCGTTGTGCGGGGGGGTACGTATGCAATTGTCGCCGTGGAGCGAAGTGTATTTTATGCTTCTCCGCAAATTCCAAGTTTTTGTCTTTGTTTTGTTCTGTCCGTAGCATCGTATCGTGTTCTCGCTATAGTGGTATTCGGGTCGTAGCGTCAGCAAGAATTTGTCATGGGGTGGTGGTGGCGTTTCGTCTTAGTGTCATCTGTGGTTCATCACATTTCTCTGTTGTCGTTACGAGTGGTGTTGTTTTCGTTTTTGGCCAGGTACAACGTTTCCGTGTTTGTCTTTTGTAATGTTTTTTTGAATTTTATTTTTTTAATCTTTTAAGGGAGGAGAGTTTTTATCGTAGTATGCGTAAGGGATGGTCTTCTTGGTTCATTATTATATTGTGAGTCCCATAACCGAGGGGGTATGCGAGAGAGGGTTTCTATTTTTATGTTTGTGTTTATCACGGTTGGTATGTGTCGTTTGTCCCTATGTAAGTCATATAACGTTGTTGTTGGTTTCTGTGTGTGTGCTAAGCGTGGGTAGGCTATACTTTTAATTTTCATTTTAATTTTTTGTATTTATTATTTTGTTTATTTTTGACAAAGTTATTAATTCTAAAAAAGTTGAGGAGGTATTTATGTATTTACGGTTTTATATTATTATTATTATTTTTTTTTATTTTTTTTTATTATACTTTTATTTTTTATTTTCGAGTATTTATTATTTATTATTTATTATTTATTATTTTAATTAAATCTTATTATTTTTTTAATTTATTTTTTTAATTTTAATGTTTTATTTTATATTTTAATTTTTATTTTTTTTTATTTTCTTTTTTTATTTTATTTTAATTATATTGCTTTTAGTTTTTATTAGTTATATAGAACAAGCCATAATAATTTTTTTAAGGAAACTGAAAATTTATCATTATATATAAAAAAAACCTTTAAAAAAAATAAAATAAAAAATTATCTTAATGATTTTATTGTTATATGTGTGTGTGCGTGTGTGTGTGTGTGTGTGTGTGTGTGTGTGTGTGTGTGTGTGTGTGTGTGTGTGTGTG